ACCATTTTTCTCACTAAGAGGCACGTAGTTTAAAGGGTCACCCCCCCACACGCCCGTGAGATCACAACGTCGGTGGCGCCAGGCGTTTGAGGATTTCTCCCTCACACGCCTCTCGTCTGTTTGGAGGTTTGGAGGTGGGGTCAAAGGAGTTGGTCGTGAGACTATCACACTTGCACCATTTTGATCCATTTTGGGATACTGGAACATCCCTACACCGAAGATTTTGGTGTTTGTTGATCTACTAGTCGGTCCACAGCTTCGGTTCTTGAGCCGGAACCATAGCTGAATGTATTTGAGCCGTCACATTTGGACAGAAAGTGATGGAGCTTGAACACCCTTCTCTCCACACTGAAGTGTGGAGATTCCACCCGCTCTTGTTTTTCTTTAGATGTGACATGTTGAACTAGGAAACTTCCGCAAAATTCACTCAACTCAAACCAGACATGCCTTTGTTTAATGGAGTCTTCTTCTATCCAGTGTGGTTTCTGTTTGTCACTTACAAGCAACAACTGGTGGGCCCCGCCTCAGTGTTCGATCTGACTTCCGGCCATTAACCGACATTCCACACAATGTTTGATCCAGGTGACACATGTTACATGGTTAAACTTGAGCTCAGACAGACTTGAGCAGTCAGAATTTACCGTCAGAGTTCAGAGTTCCATCCAAACTACCCAAAGGTTCTTGTAGTTCTATTTGGTTTCCTTCCTCAACAGCATATCATCATGCTCATCAACTCACAGAGAGCGCAACTGGCTGGTTCCACCGAGGAGAAGAGGCTCGGCAGTTGAGCAATGGTGAGGCCATCACAAGGTGCAACCGGGAGTCTTCCCGCACATGACGCGACGTGCCACATGAAACCCGATGACAACCACGCGTTGGATCCCAACTGCTGGGCATGGATATGGATCAACTGTTCACCGCTGATTTGGGTCAGAAAATCCAACAGACATGAGACAAGAGATTGCAAGTTGTTTTAGACAGGATCAGACTGGACCTGTGGGGGCAGACAGTCAGTTCCTTTCCCGGTTGCCAACGCATCTGAACAGTAGAGAGAACGGAGCATGTAGATGACGCTCCAAAGGCGTCGTCAGGACGATCCGAATCCTCAAAGTGTGTTTGTATTTAGCTGTATGGTTGCAACAAATTCATGTAGATATGCATATGACCACATACCGAAGTGGATCTTAAGAAACCTAAGAAACTTGCTTTCGGTTTAAGACACATGGCTTGAGAGCCTCTCCATGCTTTGGAAGTACGGCGGATGCATAACATGACTATACATGACTCTTTGATCTAAGCGATTCATCAAAGAATTCCAGCATAGGGGCCTCCCGTGTCATTATCAGACACAAACTGACAAGGCCACAAAGAAAGAGTCTAGATCGCTCATCCTTCCAAACTAGAAATCCTTGAAGATGCTTTTACAATGTCAGACATGGTTTTTGGAGCTCTGAAATACCTCCAGACCCGACCCAATCAACATCCAACAAACCATCGATCACATCGATCATCACATCACGCAACGAAGAACCCCGAGACACCACAAATTGGACTGACCTATTTGCCGATATTCACTGGCGTGGTTGATTTGAGGGGTCGATGTCGCAGGCAAATCTGCCATACCTGGATCTTCCAACTATGCAAAAATTCTGCTTGTTGGTGAATTTTTATGGATGAACAGGCAGGCATTCTGCAGAGTTGGAAGATCCAGTTCTATGGATTCCTTCTGTTCGTCGGTGGCCGCCCGATTCGTCGTTGACGGCGGCTCGTTGGAGGCTGCCAGAGCATTTGCAAGCCCAGGGTCGCCAGCGACTCCAAAGCTTTTGCAACGCCTTCAACGAGGCCTTCCCCCTGGTGGAGCGTGGCTCGGTATCAAAGACTGGGAGATCGAAGAATGGACGATCGATGCTGTTGAGGGAATCTCTTTGTGTGTTTTGTTAAGCCTAAATACATATAGAAAAGGTATCAAAAAATTCTGCATACAACTAGAGAACATATGTATAAAGTCGCAGAGGAACTGCCAGTCTGTATTAATGTTGGTTTTGGGATATTTTGGATATTCGGGGTGGAGTTGATATGATCGTCGTGTAGCAGATCATGATCGACTTGATTCCCCCGTGAGTCAAGTCGTTGGTATAGCTACGAGTCCCTTTGTCAACTCGCTTTTCCCCAAACATCCAGCCGACCAATCGGGTTTTGATGGGCTTAAGGTATCGAAACTAACATGAGAGAGAGCTTTTGCTCCCAGTCTCGACCCTTAGAGCTGTTTCCCTTAGAGCACCAGTCATGTTCGAGGATCTGGACCACTCGGATTTTGACAGTCGAAAACATCTTCACCTGCGGAGATCCTCCTCGAAAAGACGACCAATTTGGGAGACCAACACAGAGACCTCGGATCGCCTCACAGACGCAGACGCTGCACCGCCTCATCTCTTGGTCACTGCCCTCGGACGCTTTCGCTCGCTCGTCACTGCCTCGTGGACAGCACCTGTGGCGCTTCGAGCCGAGGCCTCTTCGAATGCGAGGCGAATCCATTTCTGCTGGACGGCCATGTGCATCTCCCTGGTCTCATGCCACTCGCCCGGGTCGACGTCTACAGCCGAAACGCGGCGGTTTCGGCGGGTCTCAGGAGTTCGGCGGTTCCGCGGTCCGTTGAGAAGGGGCCCGAAACGGGAGAAGGGGGTCGTGAGTTGGTGAGGGAGAACAGGGGCATGGCATATGAGTGGACATGGGTGATCCCCCTTGGTTGTGCCATACTGAAATCCTAGACGTAGACGTGACTATTTCAGAAATAAAAAAACTAGCGAAAAAGTTCGCTGATAAGGAAGTCAGGTAGGACCCAGGAAAAAACAACAAGAAATGAGGCTCTTTTGAAATCCTTTTGCTTAGGGTAGGGCGCCAGGATTCCAAAAACACGTAGGACTACAGGATTTCACTAAAATTGTAGGATTTCACAAGGTAGAGACGCTGGGGTTGTGCTAAGACTTTAGATATTCTAGAGATACTGGAGAGGACGCTTTTTGCTGTGGCTGTGCTTGTGCATTTGCTTTTTGCAGCATTTATCTGCTCGGCTGATAGATACACATGCTGTATATACAACATAAGATTGCAATCAATTTAATCAAATGATGGCTTGCGTATGGGGCCATGTAACCATTTGTTTTTAAATGTAAACAATGGTACAGTCGCATTTTTTGGAGTGGTAGCTGACAGAGAATTCGGGCCATGTCTTTGCAAACACCAGAGTCAAACAACGATATCCGACGATATCGAAAAATAACGAAAAAGTGCCAAAATAGACTAAATTTAGTCTTCGGGGATGATTTTCTTTGATTTTCGAGAAAATGAATGCGACGATATGGGACGATATCCGACGATATCGAAAAATCACAAAAAATGCCAAAATGCCAAAAAATGCGCTCACTGCTTGAGTATTAGGTAGATACCCAGGATTTTACTAAACGTTTGATCAGCTTGGACTCCTTGTTTTTTCCTTGGTTCCCTACCCCCTGAACACGTCGGTCCAAAGGATTTTACAAAAAGCACTTTTTGGGAAAAAGACCTAGGGCACCAATGAAAAAATACAAAGTCACCTTGGATCAGTAGGATTTTAATACGTAAAATCCTGGGGATCTACGATAGCGGTCAGTACGAAGGGGGATCATGGGTGGGACTCTTATGCCACCATTGATGATCACCCCTCAAAAAACAACGTGCACAAAATTCAGGCCCACTACACAACTTTGCAAGGGGTGGACTTACACGTGCTTTGGTCACCTGACTTCCTACCCTCTACCCTAGGTACAGCTGGACATGAATACAGCCCCACCTTCTAGATCTTGTCTAAATGTTCTTTGCTTTAAAGGAGTAATCTTGCAGCATTGTTGCAGCAGCTCGTCCTGCACCATTCCCACTCTATCCAGTTCTCTTTCGAGCTAGAGTATGCAAAGAAGCAGGTTGCCATGTTGCGTCGCTGCTGAGGACTGAGGAGACCCCAGTGATTTTCTCGTTGCCCTACGTTGCCCCCGCCGGGGAAACAGAGGCCCAGCTGGCGTTGAGCGAAGTGACCTCTAACTTGGACTGGCAGCCACCAGAAAGATGGCCCTTTCCTACCAAAACATAAGTCAAGTGGGTTCTAGGTTAGTATAGTAATGTATAGTATACAATTGGGTTTTAAGATGGCAAACAATGGTAGATCGCCCTCAAGCTTGGTGGTGTTTCCATTTGGATGCTTGACACAGAATCAAAGTTAAAGGTGGATTTGAAGGTCTATGGCAACGTGCTTTCCCTAGCGTTCCCGGCCCATATGACCAGAAGGCGGTTAGACCCCCTCGCACTCTCTCACCCCAGTTCTCAGTCCCACCTTCTCAGGAGGTAGTTGGAACCCTAAGGACTGATTGATCTGGTTGGACCCTGCTTCAGTTCTCTCTTTTTCAGGCACCATCCTTGTGTACCGTGCAGCTGGCCAATGTGCTGCAAGGCGCACAGAATGAGCTGGTGGAGGCCTGGGCGGATCTGGGCGGGAGGAGCCACCAGGTACTATCCTGGTACTATCCTGGTGGGTTTGGAGGACGTGATCCCTGTGTTTGAACATCACGCTCGAGCACCAGTGTCCCTCTTCTTTTAGACTGTCAAAGCATTTGCTGCAACTCACATATGTTTACTGATCTTCACACGTTTCCGGCAGAGGAGAAACACGCAAAATGCGCCTCTGCCGCGCCGCTGAGACCAGCTGAGGCTTTGGTTTTATGAATCATTATGGATCCCAAATGATCCAAATACCTCGTTGAAAAGGTGTTTAGACCCTCCTGGGTGCCTGCAGAAGAGTGTATTCAATCATCCTCAGAAAGAGGCTAGGTGAATCCATGGTCCATCCATGGTCCATTGGTCTTGGAATCTTGGCCCGTCTTGGACGCCGACCAGTCCGTTGACCTCTTTGGAACCCGACAGTCAGATGACTCTGAGAGGTCTCATGGAGCTGCTGAGAGCTGAGATCAGCTGCTTCAAAAGGGATGGTCTTTTTGGACCCATCTGGTGAGAAAGGTCGGATGTCGTATGGATCCAGTCACCAATCATTGTTTTTTGCAATGTGGCTCCAAAAACAATCCAATGATCGTTGATGACGATCGAATTTCAAGGATTGCCCACGCAAAAGGATGTTATTCAAGAGTTTCAAGGAAGATCATGTCCCAGAATTTCTGGGTAACATCTTCCTATATGAAACAAAACATAACAAAACTATATTTCCTCTAGTGAACAACTCTTCACGTGTTTTCCTCCAAACGGGATTTCCCTTTTCTTCCCATGCCAGGCGTGTTTTTTCTGCATGCTGCCAGGCTCTTGAGGCCGTCCGCGGCGCGGCCGACGCCGCTCACGGCGCGACGCTCACGGCGCAGACGGCGCCGGAGGCGCTGGAGGCGCTGCTGGCGTCGCTGGATGCTTGGAGGGAGGAAGTCGAAGGACGTGAGTGTTGACATGATGTGTTTTTTTCATTTCACATATAGTTACCATTAAAAAGAAATACTAAAACTTACTAATGTTAATATAATATATATAAATGATGCTTATAAGTAGGAAAAGGTAGATGAGGACGTCTGATAGAAGCTTCGAAAGCACAGTCCTTGATGATGATAGTGGTGGTATATAGTCATCGTGGTTGGGAGCACATGTTTGATGATATGCTTCCCCCGCAATAGGGCTTCCAAGTGTGTAGTTGGTATTTTGTGGTGATACTGATCACTGCTGATACTACTCAAGTCTTCACTGTCACTCCAATGAACTGATCAACAAGTTTCATGAATTCGTGGGTTCATCCCACGTATTCGATATCTATGAACATGGGAAGTATAGGACCCATCTTTGGATCAACTGAATGAATCCCCTGGCCTGGCACTGAGGATCTTCAGAAGGTCTTGCTCCCGTTGCTGCATGAGTTCCGGGCGGAGTCCTTTGTGCTCGAATATGACCTGGACACTGGGCGGGCAGTGGATGGGGGCTGTTGAAGGGATCAGCCACAGTGTTTTCATAGCACAGAGTGAGCCAAGAATTTTCTAAGAGAAGTTACTTACAGTACAGCCAAAATCACAGGATCAACCACACCACCAGAGTGAGCCAAGAACTTTTTGATTCATGGTGCAACTCAAGGATCATCCAGGATCATCCAGGATCATCCAGGATCATCCAGCAGTGTTGTTGTCTCATCCAGTGTGGTGGGTGAAAAGCGGATCTGCTCCTGTCTCTCAGGTCCAAAGATGAAACACTGCATCGATCTATGCATGTGTGTTTCTCTTCAGAGTGCTTTTTTGGCCACTCCGGGGACCGGAGAACAAGTAGAATCTGTTTGTGTTTGTGTTCTTTCTTCCATTTTTCCATCCATGTTTCCAATAGGTGTGTTTTTTGTCCATCCATTTGTTCCTTGTTGAAACCCATTTGGATAGTCGGATGGTTCCAGGAGCGCTTGGAAGATGCCTTGTCGCGGCGCCTGCGTGGTGCGACGCGGATCCAGGCCAGCGCTTGCGAAATCTCGAACGCCTTGTAGGTGCAGTATGTGATATGCTTGTTGATGGTTAATTCGCATTGATATATTCAATTTGTTTTGGGAAATGTGAGGATTGAAGATCAAAGGGTATGGATTTTGCGTTTGATTTTGGATCGACTTTGTCGATTGATGAATCCATTTGCTTGATTAATGGTTTGTTGCTTTCAGGTGCAGCTACGACATGTGCGTTTCGGAGGCGAACTGAAGGCCCGGGAGCCTAGAGTTCTAGGCGGATGAACGTCTGGAGTGTCACTGACTAGGGCTGAAGATATAGGGAGTCATTGGATTACCCAAGACAATTTTTTTGATAATTGGTTACTGGCATCATAGAGGTAGATTTAGATATAGACACTTATGTATATATATATATACAAGATCACTATAGATCACATATTATGGCTCTTGGATCCCTGCTAGGTCATTGATGTGTTCAGTGTATTTACACTCCCTGAGAAAATCACGGGCCAACGTGGATAGCACCGCCCTGAGTTCCAGATGACCATGTTCCGAATACCAAACAGGTGGTCTGGTGGTGTTGCTTTTCCACGTAACCATGAGGCCACAGGGAGTGTAAGTGGAGTCATCATCCGAAGTCATCCTAAGTGGTAGACCGTCTTCTCATCGATTTCAGGGGGTGTACAGCTATTTCATACTAATTCCCCACTTCCCAAAGCGCTTCAGATGGACATGTTGTTCGAAGTTCAGCGCTGAAATCATGGCAACATGGCAACTCCTCAGGACTCCGGACGCCTCGCGGTGCTACGACAGAAGTTGCCACAAGAGGCACTGCCCTTTGGAATGGTGGAGGACGGGACGGACGCGACGTGGGGGTCCGGAGATGGACGTGTTTCGCGAACTGGACAGTCATGGCACTGCGTTCATCCTGGAACAGTGCAGGACGAAGATGAACGCGGCCGAACAACAAATCATTGCCTGAATCTCGATTCAGCGGAGGTACAGTGTACAACCAGGATATTGAATACGCGATGGATGCAGGTTTAATCCAAGGCCAGTTCCAAGGCCATATATACTAGTTGGCCTGTTCAACCTATGTATACTCAGTGGTGCGTGCACCAACCTGTCCTCTCAGCATACATCACTTCGTAGACAAACCGATTCTTCCAAGCGCCTCAGGGCCTCTTCATTATCTTTATTGAGGTTGGAAGTCTTCGTGAAGATTGCCAATTGAACATTCGCAACCTGTATAGCTACCGCGCGACCGAATCTTTTTGCATGGCCATCAAGAAGGAATTGCGTCCCTTCCAGGAACTCCGCCGCGAGCTGCAACGCGGCACTGGAGCCGCTTCTCCAGCGCCGTTGCGGGCGCTGTTGGAAGACGCGATCCACCTTTGTGCCTTGGACGTCGTGGGATGTCGCGGGTGTCGATCTGAAGATCATAGCTGTTTGGGTGTCATGATTTGGTTGGGTGTCATTGTGTCATAAACTAACCTTCTCGTGGGTGGGCATCTCCTTGTTTTATTCATAGTCTTCCCCCAAGTCCCGAACGGCTTTGCTTTGAGGGGTTGGGAACAATCCGGGCTGAAAAACAATCCTGGGCCAAGATGATTTCCTGGCCTTTTGTCTCTTGTCGTCTCCCATGGCTTTTCTGGATGGGCTGAGATGGTCCTTTGTCTCCCAGGCTCTTCTTCTTGGATGTATAAACCAAATCTTCAAGAGAGTTCTTGTTGAATTGCGAATGACCCGGCTCGACCGGTATGCTTTTGGCTGACTGGGGCTCGGTACTGCAAAAAGAAACGCCAAGCTGCCGCTGCTGCTGTAATTTTAAAGACATCTTGGTATGGGGGGCTCAACATGGCTTGAAATGGATTGTGCGGGCGTCGATTCTGAATCCCTTAGCATCCGATCACGATTTTTTGACATCCTGGAACACCGCTTTCCCAATGCTTCCCTCACCAACATGAATCACATGGGAATGGCTTCCAGAGTTGATTGGCAAATTCAACAGCCATAATCAGAACAACAGCAACAACATAACATGTTGGTGATTGATGGGGCTGTGCCAGGCTGTGCCCAGTTCATGAAAGTCACCGGCCCAAACTCACCAAACTCACCCATGTAATCGAGTAATCTCTCAAAACACTTGCTATGTCTAAACCTGTGCCCGAAGATGTGCGAGAAGGACGGCACACCAAATGATATCATCTAAACATGCGGCTGGTTTCGTTTTCTTGAACCCTTTGTGTCAATCAAAAACAAATTGGGCATCTTTGGGTGAAGATGTAGCGTTTCCCCTGCGTGTGGAGGGACTTCCAGGCTTGTTTGGGAATGCGTGACCAGCAAGAATTCATACAGAAATACTCGCTAAACGTGACATGACTGTGGATTCGACCCGCACACATGCACAAATTCCTTTTTTCAGGTCTGTTTAAGTATCTATCTATATATATATATATATCACGCCTTTGATCACATAGCTGTGCTGCCTAGAAGCTATAGAAAGTGTTCTATTCATGGTCATTCTGTCGGATCTTCAGGAAAGAACTCAGAGATGCCATGCCCAGGTTTATCTCTTTCCTTCGGCGACAGTGCTGCTGTGCCTCGGCAGAAAAGAACGCCACGTTTGCAAACACGATCCACAGAGAGACCCACAGAGAGACGGCAGGTTGGGGGCTGGAAAGAAGGCGCAGTTAGTTGTTTCGGGTTTGTTTGAACAGTGCGGTCCACTCAGTATACGATAATATGTGTGGCCCTGAGACTAGGTACCACGTTTGCATCGTTTGGGTACATGTTGGGTCCGTGTTTTTCATCCGGCGATGAATCCGGCAGTTTAGCCAGCGACATTCCGTTTAAGGCCCAAAGATCTCTGGCAGAGTTGCTAAGAACCTCGGGAGAGAGTGAGACGAAGGCACGGATCGACAGCATTGGAGATGTGACACAGAGGTCATAGGCCAGTGCGACCAATTGGATGATCATGAAGAATCAGCCGTTCTTGTTTGGTCGCTGGTTGACAAGAATGGCTCAATGGAGGCAGCCCCTTGATCTGGATCTTTTGGAAGTTGGTGGAAGCTTTGCATGGAAGAATTTGTCATGAAACAGTCAGCACATGTTTTTTTGGAGAGAAGATTTGTACCTTGCTCCTGCCATGTCCTGCCCACGCCCACGGCCTTATATTCACGACCAGGTGCTACCAGCAGCGCTGAAAGAGGCCAAGTTATGTCATTTGCAAGAACTGTGTCTCGTCACCTTTGACCGACGCGACGAGGCCCGTGATGGCTCCGTTTCGGCTCGCGGCGCGCGGCGACACTGACGTGTTGATGGGCCAAGGTATATGGAACTGGTGAAGTCGAACGAAGCGGGTGATCCACTGGCGGGGGTGGCTTTGGCCTACCAGGAAGTGGCTGGAATGCGTGGGAAGTGGGGCACTTGGGGTGCGGAAGTTGACTGCAAGAGTGAGTAGGTAATTGTTTAGCCTTGGCAGAGCCATGACCTCTTTTACGAGGCCTGTGATACGACCTTATTCCACTGGATGTGAAGGGTTGCAGTTTTTGAATGATACCGTTGGAAAACCAAGTACTCAAAGCAGCTGAAGGTGCATTTCTGCGATAGACACAAAACTGTCATGACTCAAGATGTTTGATGTTTGATGGCAGGGCAACAAGGTGGATGGCCTTAAGATCAACTTAAGATGTCTTAAGAATTCTTAAGATGTTCTGTTTTTTGACCGCGTTTTCTGGCTACACTGCACATATGAATGTCCCCAAAAACTTACATTGGCCTCCACCTGCAACATGAAACGTTCATGAAGAGCTCCTTCGTGAGCCACAGGAGCCCTTGGATGAAGAGCTCCTCACAGCTCTCAAGGCTGTTGCTGAGGCGTGGCGAAGCCGGTTTTCGGGGCGGGAGTGGCGAAGCCGAGAGTGGCGGCTGAACGACGTGAAGAGCTGAACCACTTTGGAATTTCGCAGATTTGGTTTTCAGGTTTTCAGGTTTGTGACGTGTCCATGCAAAGGCAAGGAACCCTCCTTTTGTATGGAGGATCTCAATTCTTTTTTTGAAGGTTTGGCAGCACGTGGAAGAATGTGGGTTTCCGTATGCGCAGAGCAACCAATGGACTGCGCTTCACACATTCTGGAAGATTTGTTTTGGGGGGATGTCATCCCACAACAACACCAACACAGTGCCCAAGGGCCCGCCCGGTGAAGGATGTGAAAATCAAGTCTTCATCATAGAGGGGAACCCTCCAAGTGAACAACCAATCGGTTTGTGGAACTAGATCGACCTCTCTAATATTCCCAAAAGGACACCATTGGCCGGCCTTCATTTTTCCTGCCACAAGCTCGGAATGCACATGGTATACATTGGTAAATACGTCATGTCAATACATCATATGCCATGACACACCGACACTCCAAACACCAAGTCAGTGCTCGGAAAATGATCCGGGCAAGAGATCCCAAACATAGTGTCTAGAGGTCTAAGGCCTAGAGGTGTAGAAGCAAAAGACTAGACGTATTGGGCTCTAAGATCTAGACGTATTGGGCTCTAAGAAAGAAATTGCAAACACGGCGGCTCCACGATCTCGAGGACCTCAAGGAGTGGCTGCCGGTACTTCACGATCTCTTAGCAAAGCAGTTTCTAGGCACAGAGGCAGTTCCTTCTCGCTGCGGAGTTCGTTTTAGAGTGTTCACTTGGCACAATATGACCAATCTGAGAAAAAGATGGCTGCATTGCTGTGTGTTCTTTACCATTTCAGGCCATTCCTATGAGATTTCCCACGATCTGCAAGGTTTTTTTCCAACCTTGATCAGTGCCTTCAATCTACATCTACATTGCAATTATGATGAGAAAGTTTGACAGCCGCGGCTGAGGTGTTGCAAGCTGATTGTTTTGCATTTGTGCGTATTATGTTTGCATTCAAAAAGCTTCTTATTAAGGTTCCTTTTGCCCTTGGAATGCTCATGTCCAGGGATTTTTGTAGGTAAATGTTACCATATACAGTCGTGAAACTGCATCTTTGCAGTGGCTCTAGATTTCTCATAACATAAGTATGGATCTCAAAGATTAAAACTACCACCAAAATTCATGTGATGCGGATGCAACCTTGACAAAACCTGTCGCTGGATGAAGGCATGCATGTTTGCTTTCGTTATCATCTCACTAAGCGCGAGAGGTGGAGTTCTTGGAGACAAGATAAGACAAGTGAATTTGACAAGCCACACAAAACAAACACTTAAGAAGGCTGGCTACTAAACCTGTTCCACATAGCATTCATCCCACTACAATGTTTTTCTATCTCTTAGTTCTCCATTGATGGGCGGCCTGAGTGAGGAAAGTGGCTCCAGCCTTGAAGTAGTATGGTGTTCATGACGTTTCAGGAGGCTACCAGGGTTCATGTATTTGTTTTGTGCCTCGAAGTGTCCTGACGCCTTGGATCTATCCATGAATTTCCATCATCGAAAACTGGGAAACTCCATGGGTCAATTTGGATTTCACCTCATTGGTTGATCAATCGATATAGAGTTCAACACACTGAGGTTGGTGGTGGATCGATTTCCAGCAGGCGGCAGATGTGGCGGAGTCGTGGGTAAGAGGACTCCCAGCTGGGACTTGCTCGTTCGATATCATCAGTTGGAGGTGAGAGATGCAGGTCAGCAAAATGAAAAGAACCTTAAAAACCAGAAACATCAGAACGCAGCAAGCTTGTACCTCTCAAAGTTAGAGATACCAGCAAGGTATGAACACCTAATTGCATTTGCAAAAAAAACACACGTGCTAACTTGCGGAGGCAGTTCTTTGAAGGAGTTCCTCAGCTTCGCAGCAGGCCCCGCGGAACAGGTTAGCAGGATGGAGGAGGCTATTCCCCAGCGAACGGGTGTGATTGTTCTTCTTAGGGGTCCAAGTCCAGTTGTAAGCCATGCATAATATGCCATCATTTGGCCATAATACACTCCAGGTATGGACCCCTTTGCCGTACATGGAGTGTGTGGGTTAAGGGCCAAGGCGGCTTTCCGGGTCTACAGCCTGTGGTGTGTGTCCAGGTGAGGATCCTCCGAGCTCCTTCCCCGAACAGCTGGAGCTGCGACATGCCTTGTCAGTGCATCGCAGCCTCGCGGAGCTCCACACCATCGCAGCGTGAGGGCGCGTTGTTTGCTTCTCAAGCAACGGAGCTGTGATGGACCCAGATCACGGGAAACAAATCGCCCACCCATTGAGGAGATTTGAGAAGTAAGAACCCCTATATATTATATTATAGCAGTCGATATTTGCAAAAATTACAACATGTGACAGGTGCTTAAGTCCATAAGCATGGTTCCAGCTGCTATGTACTTTAGTGAGAAGAGCTCCTACACAGAGAGCACCCTGAGAAAGAAAACTATGTTGCCCGCCGCTCCGCTAGGTTCTTGAGTAATTAGCGTAATTAGCAATTGTATGCAATCGTATTAAGTGCTGCACTATTTGTGTTCGATGCAGATTAGTAGGTGGCTCTTTGTACCACTGTAGCTATATATATATATAGAGTTGCATTATTAAAGATTCCCAATGCTGAGCCTGCTCGAAATCTCCAGTGCCGTTTCTCAAAGGCTTCTTTTGAACGGAGTCTATCAACAGCATCATATCAATAGGCGAGTATCAACAGCAGAGCAGATTGGGACGGTTCAAAGCTCAACCGTCCTCAGATATCGATTTGAGCCTGCATAATATGTACAGTGTACAGACCCAGAAGTGGCGAATAAAAGGTTGCAGGAGATGCTGAAACCCTTGGGTGTTTACGTAGAGATGTAATCAGTGTATTCTTGAACACTACTGCCCTTGCTTAAATTTGTAATCATATATGTTTGGGTTTCTGCGTTTGACAACGTTGGGATGTGAAAAAGGAAACACGTGTGCTAACTAGATGCTTGTTCTTCTTTGTTTTTTATTTTTTCGAAGATCTATACAACATCCTGCCCGGTCCTGCCCTGCTGATCAACTCAGAAACCATTTCACTGAATCCTAGTGCTGTATAAGTGCGGTCGCAAAGATAAATGCATAAGGGGTCCAGGCAAACCAGCGAAAAGGATGTGCAGAGCATTTGCTTGCGTTTCCATGTGTCAAGCGCATTGGTCCATTTCTATGTTTGAAATGTCCTAGTCTGCCATTCACACACAACATAGGGAAGGTTGGGTGGTGGTCTTTGGAGAACCAATGGGTTGCACCTGAAAACCTGTGTGAATGTCGCGAGGTTCCTCCATTAAGACTGACTTAAGAATTCCAGAGATCCAATCTGTCAACCGTAAATGACTGTCATTTTCAAGGTTTGTTGGGATTTCACCCAGAAAAGGAATCGACAATTTTTGCAGTGGTCTTCTGAACCAGATCTTATATATATCCTGAATCTATTCCTAAAAGACTTGATCATGTCAAGTCTTTGCTACCTTTCTTGTTGGAGCTACTCCCCGGATCTCCCAACCTGACACGGGTGTCGTCGGGCTTTCGTCGCTGGCCGGCGGCGTTTTACGGGTGTCGTCGTGTGCAGCTGGTTCGATCTTTGAATCTCATCGGTGGAGAGCAACACCATGGCAAGGAGCACCGGCTCTTGGGAGATGGCCGGTGTTCTCCAGATTGAAGATTGTTCTTTTTGGGATGAGGTCATTCGCAAAGACACCTGATGGCGCCGCCCAAGACACCTGATGATGTTTAAGTAGGAAAGGAGTCTTCGGCAAACTAGCAGGACTGGTGGCCACACTGAACTTTTGAAAATTCTTGATCAGAAGGCATGGGCCTGAAGATGGTGTTTCACACGACATGGGCGCTTTTTAGCAGCATCCCTGCAACGAATGTGGATCCTATTCCGCTGATTTGCAGAGATCCTCAGTTTGTTTTAGACTTAGACTATGAGGGTTCATGCCATCTCTATCAGCAGTTGGCATGTTTGTTGCTAGTTCTGTTAGTCAAGACATGTCAAGACCCTTTCTTTAGCCATCAAGTGTTGTGTTTCACGACTCAGACTTGGGAAGGATTGGTCAGGGCTGGTCACGATGCCCTTTGTTTGTCTCGAGATGGGCTGGGGAGTACCTGGAACTCGGTGAAGTCAAAGCTTCCGTTCTGTCTAACAAACAACTTGGATGGTTGAAAGTCAGAACCTCCTGAACCATCCTTCTCACCATCATCCAGATTGTTCATGCATCAAACCATGTACTGCGACCCGTTTGCAATCCCCTGCGGTTCGTTTTTTTTTGAGCATCTCTATGGTGTTTTGTGTGACGGTTTTAATCATGAATTTGTCAAGATTGTGACTCTGACTGATTCTGCTTTCCATTTAGCTTTTGGATTCGAACCGCAGGACTGGGCTTGCATTGAGTCAGGCAGGGTGGGATAAGAAGGGTGGGAGACCTCGTCCCGCCGCGAAGGACGTGTATGTATCATGTTTGACACGTGAAGGACGTGTTTTGAACCAACCTGCAGCTGCAAGACCCACAAGAAAGTTAGTTCCACCATTCCTGGCTGGTCAACCAGGTTCTTCTTTGAGATTCCATGGCTTATGCGCTGAACGAGGTCTGAAACAAAGGCCAGCCTCTTGGAATGCTTCGCACGACATCCAAAAAAAGAGTCCTCACAGTCCTCACTCGGATCCATCTCATTCGTTCGCCTCGTCATGTGGAGCTCCAAAAAAAGAGAGAGCCACTGATTCCCTCTCCAGGTACCCACCCTCAGGTTCGGTACGACTGGACCCGACTGGCTGGCACCTACTATAGCCACAGTGTCTCACCTGAGAAAGGTATACGACATCCGATGATCCGATGATCCCGAATTAAGGGACGGAGCTCTTTTTGGTTCGATCTCCGGGAAAACCCGTTGACGACGTTCGGCGTCTCACCGCGCGGAGTCGGTGTGTCGTCGCTCAAATGGGTCGGACCAGTCCGACCGCGGACCGGACTCGAGTCGCGATGCCCTTTGTTACGTTCATAGCGGACATTGCTCCTATAGTTTGGAAGGGCCAAGAGCCACCAGTAGCGTCCTAGACCTGCTTCAGAGGCCTTTCCTTTGGAAAGAGGATCTCATTTGGAGAGAAAGAGGATGTTTCTCTTTTGAGGGCGATAAAGGGACTTTTGAGGGTCATGCAATCTCTCTGAAGGTTTTCGTTCGAAAACACATAGCACGTACTAAGTATGATCTGCACAGCGTGAAGAGTCCATTTTGATTGATACGGGAGGTGTTCAGTGTAGGTCCAGGTCAAGACATCCAAGACCTAAATGCCCCAAACCCTACAGGTCAAGGTGATTCCAAAGTAAGTCACCGTGACTTTTCTCGCACCCCTCTGACAGGGTTGCCAGACTGCCCACACCGTTCAGGAGGCGTTCGTCCTCTTGCCACAGGCCAGACGGGTGCTTGTAGCTCGCTGTTGTCCACTCCGACTCACAGGCAGATGGAAGTGGAAAACCACCGGCTGCTTTTCGGAAAGCAGTCCTCCAAGGGTTTGCCTATGTGCACTTCCATATGTTAGTGCGTCGGAGTGTAATGCTCGACTCAGGGGTTCTACTGCACCGGTAAAGGCCTTGGCCCATGCCTGAACACCCACACTAGCACCTAGTAGTCCAATGGCCCATGTGGCTGTGCAGTCGAACTGGATCATCAACTCCGGAACGAGGTGGGTTCCACTGTACACTGATGTGAATTGATCCAAAGGAATCCCATGTTTAATTAAAGGAACACTCGCCTGACATGGTGCTCCCATGGTGAGCACCAATCAACAGCTGAACACCAGGTTAACCAGCATGTATTGACTCGGATCCATGGTTTGCTTCCAAAGTCAAAATGAATGGCCCAAGTGTGACTCCACGCAAATGTGCAAACAGAACTACACCTTTTATGCGTGCGGGCATCCACGTCCAAGATAGACCAGGCTAAGTTCGGAATCCCAGTGTAGCACTTCAGCATTTTAATGGTGGGTGTGTATGAACATATAGGGACGCCTCGCTATTAGTTTGGAGGCCATCGCTATTGTTTTGCCTCATAGCGCTGTTGTGAAAATAGTGACGCCTCCCCATTCGACCCCGTGGGTTCAATCAACCAGGAAATGCCATCTATTCAACTACGAGAAGTCTTGGACCGGAATTGCTCTTCAGAGCTCTATGGTTTGACTATCCAATAGGCATCCTAGGTTACGGGCCATATATTGTTTCACGTCTCACTGAACCTCTAGAGCTGGATCCTCCACACCTGGAGGGTCGCAGAGGGTCGCCATGCTCGCCAGACGCCTCTCGCTCCCTCAACCCGTCCAGCCACAGGCCCGTGCTCGACCGCGGGTGGTTGGGAGACGGGGGGGAGACTCGTTCAGTTCTAGATGAACTCGCTTCAGATATATGGAAGTTCCAACATGTTCCAACACAGAAATTCTAGGAACTTCCAATACTTGGTGCTTTGTAATGACATCTACTATAGGTATTCACCATAAGGTTGTATGATGCCGAGGCCATATTGCAGATCCGTCGCTCGGATCCAATGCATGAGTCGCTATAGGGAGCTTCAGAATGGGCTAGTCGCTCAAAGAGAGTTTTTCCGTCGTTCTCGTTGAAGCACCAGTTATGGATTCGAAGCAACATGGCCTTATCTTCATCGTTTGAACCGGTGGTCCGGTCGTCTTGAGTGGGCAGGTCAGGGGGTCCTGTGACACGTCTAATTAAGTCTAGAATCTGCAAGATCCAGCAGCGGCTTGGTGAGTTCCAGATGCAGATCTTGCAAGCTTTTCAGGGACTCACCTCAGGTGCGCCACTAAGTCGTTTTCCTCAGATCCATCGCTTTGCTGATCGCCGTGTTTCTTCGCCCTCCGTAGCTGTTGAGTCCGCCAATCCATCCGCCAACAGTGCGGCTGTTGAGTCTCGACATGCTGCGGCCGCGGCTAGTCCCTTGGGCCGAGCCGGTGGAGGTCGGTGGCCGTTTGACCAATTCGATCAGGAGACCGTCCCAGGTCCCATCTTCCTGCACAAACATCCATGTTTTTGTTGAGTTGCTGGGGAATGACATCATGGACGTGGTTCAAAAGCAATTCAATCCAAGAGTGATGCTCAAACTTGATTAGAGGTACTTATCTGCGCTACATGAGACTGATTCTGTTTGGAGGGAACCTCTTGCAACCGCGGGCTTGCCCGCGGGTGGCGACATGCCGTGTCACGTTTGGAGTGGACACCTCGGCTACTCCAAATCAATTCACATCCACATTCC